AGCAGGAGGCAGAAGAAGCCAGGTAAAGAGGGATTTGGTTGCTGTGCCTCGTGAAAGGGTAATGAGGGAACTGGCACATAACTTCAGTAATGTTTGACTTGAGCCTGTGAATGGAGGGAGCCTTTTGTTGCTTACTCCTCTGTAAAAGTTGACATGATTAGTGAAGTTTCTCAGACTTCTCATGCTTAAAAGCATTTCCCCTTAAGACGACATGTTTTTCATATGATTTAATTCATACGTTATTCACATTTATTGCTAGCTGCAGGGCCACTGTTCTGAAGCATCATCCCGTACCTTTGCAGTAAGCAGCTGAATACAGGAGCCACGTGAGTGGGGACAATTGCATGGCTCCTTTGCAGCTGATCGTTGCCCTTCACTTTGGCCACACAGCACTCAGGTGAGAAGTAGCTATGCAGCTAACTTTTTCCTCCTGAAGTCAACTAGTTACTGCAGCAGTATGGGAAGGTGCCATCAGTATGGAGCAAATGTGAATGGGACTTCCTATTAGGCTTTCTCCACTGAATATTGTTCAGTATGTCTATAGAATCTTCCTAAGTGTTTGAAGTTCTTAGTAGGCATTATCTCAGAAATCCTGGCAACATCCCTGTTAGACGAGCCAAGATTCCTATGTTATGAACAGGGTGGATGGGAGGCACTGATATGCAAAGCTGCATGGGAAATAGTGGCTTGCCTTGTGCCACCAAGTGATGATTTATGGCGGAAGGCTCAAACAGATGCTGGTAATTCTGTGGCTGGACCTCCCTGCATTTCCCCTTAAAAATCAAGTGTGCAGGGGCTTGCTTTGGCCTGGGACCACAATGCAAGGGAAGAAGGTTTGAGCCTTCCCTACTGCGCTGTTTTCATAATAGGAAACAGTCCCAGGGAACTATTTGTTCTGTTGGGCTAAAGTCTCCCTAATGGGGCAAATAATATCTCTTCTATTTCAGTCTGGAATTTATATGTGAACCAAGGACTTCCTGTCTCACGGGTCATTCTCATAGCCATTATATTACATGAGACTAGTTGTTCCCATTTTGAGCAGGTGGGGATGGAATCTTTTCCAGCCACTTCTTTTCAATGAGCACTCAGTGGGCATGTAAGATATCAGGTGAAAACCCATTTGTGCTGCTTAAAAGCCTCTCAAGGTTGTTGTCCTTACATTCCTTTAGATGTTGTTTAGAAACAAATATATGCCACCATCCCAGACACCTGCTTGAGGCAGATCCCGAGCAGCAGCGACCTGCCGCCGCCAAGTTTTCTTACTGGGCTTGTTGGTCTCATCTTCCATCTTATAAACATTAATCGCAAAGCAGTACATGAAGGGAACTGAGAGGGATGATTTTGATCAGAAGCCATATACCTTTCTGGTATTTAACATTTTCCTAGGAATAGAGCAAATGCTATTGAAGGCAATGTGGAGGATGTGGCAGAAAATCTGAGACAAGCTAACGTAGCACTTCAGGAGGCTGAAGACACTATTCATGGGTCTGGTTATTCCCTTCAGCTCATCCAGGACCGCCTTGATGAGGTGAGTTGTGCATGCTGAGCTTCTGGTACTGTGTTCTTGCATGACATGCTTGCTGGGAAGCCATGGCTGCCAACCACCAGGTGGGGCCTGGAGATCTGGAACTACAGCCAGGGCTATTTTTGGGCAGGAACGCACAGGAACAGAGTTCTGGCTGGCTCCCGAGTTGGCCACACCCAGCAGGAACTCATTAGCATAATAGGCCACACCCAACAGCAGAAACTCATTAGGACTGGCTACATTAGGGGTGTGTGGCCTAATATGCAAAGAAGTTCCTGCTATAAAAAAGCCCTAAACAGAATAAGAAGCAAAAGGTGGGTGTGTCTGGATGACCACACTTCTGCAAACATGGGGTGTGTGGCCTAATATGCTAATGAGCTGTGCTGTTAGGGGTGTGTCCTAATAAGCAAATGAATTTCTCCTGTTGGGTGTGGCCTATTATGCCAATGAGTTCCTGCTGGGCTTTTTCTACAAAAAAAAGCCCTGACTACAGCTGATCTCCAGACTACAGAGAATGGATCTTCCAAAGGAAATGGCAGTTTCAGAAAGTGAATTATAGGATGTCACATTATTACTGAGCTCCCTCCTCTCTTTAAACTCTCCCCTCCCCAGCTGGAGGTGGCCAAATTTATGGCCTTTTAAATGGAATGCAACCCACAAGCAAGGCAGTCTAGGCAAGCAACCAATAAGAAGGATGACTGAGCCCTTCCTGGGTACATGGCTGGTGGATTCACTGTGAGACATGCATTATTAGTGTGTGCAAGTTGCAGAGGAGTAGTTGTTCTTCTTGTAAAACTTCATTTCACCATGCTGGTAAAGCACTGTTACTAAAACAAACCTGGTTCTTGTCCAAGATCAGGGATTTTTTTTGTTTTTTTGTTTCTCTCATCTCATGCTTGTCATTGTCTTGCACCTGAACGTTATTTTACCATATTTGACCATAATGGGGAGGCTTTGCTCTTTATATCACTGCAGCATAAACTAAGCAGGATACCTGTGTGCTATTGCCCTGAATGCTAGTGAATATTATTTAAGTGTTCCTTGCTAAGTAAATTTAACGCCATAGTAATTTGGACCTTCAGGGACAAACCAAACATACTCGGCAAGGTAGGCCACTAATTTTGAAGTTACAGTGTAACTAAATGGATTAAGTGATAAAAGCCCTTTCTGATTCCACAGAGATTTGGACTTTTCTCCAGAAGTTTATTTAGGCCTTTGGCATGCTAAATGAGTGTACTGAAGACTAGGGGTGTGCATTTGGATCTACCCAAACCAAAAATATACCCCAAAAATACCTTATCAGTATTTTTTGGGGGGGTATATTGTGGCATTCTAAAGTTATCTAGAATTTTTTTTTTTGAAAACAACAAAAAAAGTAATCCCACTGGCTCAGCTGTTTTCTGGGCTGTCTTCTGCGGTCCCTTTAAATGCAGCCTGTTTAAAGGGACTACAGAGGAAAGCCCAAAGAACAGTTGAGTGGCCAGAGCAATCTTTTCTTCTTCTTTTTCCTTCTTGGGTTTATTGGACCAAATTTTGGGGAGGATTTCTGAAAAATCCCAGATTTTTCAGGAACCTTGCCATTTTTTGGGGGGTCCAATGGACCTGAACCGAACAATACCAAGAAAAAAAATTGCACACCCCTCCTGAAGACCCATAAGGTATGGAGACTTTATACATATCACATGCAGATTGGCTTTCTGTCTGCACTGCAGATGCAGGATGGCTTGGCCAGTCTGCTGCATAAATGGTGCTTCTTCATGGAAGGTTTTTTAAAAAATTTTTGTCCTAGAGGCCTTTCCCCCTTTTATCTAGGCATCTTCTTTCAACACTTAAGAAACCAGGAGGATTCAATATACTTTGCCCATGATTACATTTTGATCCTGTCCTGAAAGAGATCATGGCAGCATGCATGGCTCTTCCCTCTTCCATTCTTGGTCTAGCCACATGCAATTATTTGCATAGTCACATGATGGATCAGGCTATCCACATAAACATATCCAAATAAAATGGAGTAGTGGGGAAACATGTATGCTATCCTGAACTCCCTGGAGGAAGGCTGGGATAAAAGTGTGTTAAACAAAAGAAGCAGAATTTCCCACCTGTTCACATATACAGTTTGTGCATGGATACAATTTGAATCAGAAGTAAACAGTTGGTGCCCTAACTTAGTTTTATCTTTTCTTTATAGTCATGTAGCTCTCACTTCCAGTTTAATTTTGAAGCGCTGTAACAGGAACAAGCAAAACTCATGTGGAGAAGTCATATTGATCTCCAAAAATGAGGCAACATTTAGTGAAAATACCCATGTTTGAAAACTGTGCAGAACAAATATTCAAGCAAAATTAACTATGTGCTTTATCAGCAGTTTATACAATTAGATATGATGGAGGAGAGAATAGAATTCCCCTCCCCTCATGTACATTCCATTTCTGAAGCAGGGGTGGGAGGTCTATTTTTTTAAAAAATGGAGCATGTGGATGGAGGGAGGTGGCTTCCTACACTATCTTCCTGTGCTCTGTTGCTTTCAGCACTTTTAATGCACTTTCCCCCTTAATTTCTCAACCAAATCTACATTTTAATGGACACATGTACAGCAGCTTGTGTGAAATTGACATGTACCATCGGGGCAAAGAGAACAGTGAGCACGGAGCAGCGCTTGTGGGAAATCACCCTATTATAATGTTAATGCTGAATCATTTAGTCCCTGTTAATCTTGATAAAATCAGTGCATTCATGATTTCTTAAGGCTGAGACTTCCACTGACAGGAATGAAGTTTCGCATCCAGTACAACTAATATTTTTCCAGAGGGAGAGCCTTAGTTAAATTGCTAAATGGTTCCTATTTTGGGATGTTCAGATCCAGATGGTCCTTAGTCCAGCTGAGAAGAGCGTTCAGGACATCACTGATCAACTAGACAACTTCACGAAAAGACTCAGCCAGTTACGGTACAAGGCAGACCAGAACCAGGTATCAGCTTTGGATGCCCAGCAGAAAGCAGGGGAAGCTGGTGAGCAAGCAAGGACCACTCAACAGGTATGACAATGGGGTCTTCCAGGCACTGCGATTTTTAAAAAAAATATCTTTGATCCAAGAAGAACATATCATGATCCGGGCTGCTGAGACCCTCCTGTGGGTCCCTGGAAAAGGATCCCCCCCATTTAAAGAAGAAAAACAGAGAGAAGGAAGGAAAGAATTTAATGGAACATAAAGCCTCTCTAAGGAATCCAAAACCCTTTGCTTAACTAAAAAAACAAATTCTCTTGCAGGAAAGCACTTACTATGGCTTCAAGTCAAGTAAAGGATTAAAAGGAGTGATTACAACAGTCCTAGATAAGGTTCTAGAGGCTGAAGCCCCAAATGTACAGTCATCTACGACACCATAGAATCATAGAGTTGGAAGGGGTCAGACAGGCAATCTAGTCCAGCCCCCTGCTCAACGCAGGATCAGCCTACAGTATCCATGACAAGTGTGTGTCCAAATTTTGCTTAAAGAATGCCAGTGAGGAGGAGCTCACCACCCCCCTAGGCAGCCAATTCCACTGTTACACAACTCTGACTATACATTTTCCCCCCCTGATATCCGGCCGGTACCTTCCTGCCCTTCATTTAAACCCATTATTGCAAGTCCTATCCTCTGCTGCCAACAGGAACAGCTCCCTGCCCTCCTCTAAGTGACAGCCCTTCAAATACTTAAAGAGAGCAATCATGTCCCCCCTCAACCTCCTCTACTTCAGACTAAACATTCTTAAGTCCCTCAGCCTTTCCTCATATGGCTTGGTCTCCAGGCCCACGATCATCCTTGTCACTATTCTGTCCACATCCTTTTTGAAGTGAGGCCT